GAGCCCCCCCCCCCGGGGCACTGCCCCGGCTGCCTCCAGCCTGGGTGCAGCAGCAGGGGGGTGGTAGCAGCTCCGGGAACAGGCAGACCCCTTCTTCACAAGACTCAGCTGAGAAAGGGATATTTGCAGGTTAGATGGATTGGGTATGGCTGGGGGGGGGCAAACTCCATGCCAGCAGTGTGGCTCCAAGCCGGAGCCTGTCAAGACCTCACCTTCTTGTTGAGGTCTTCATCGCTCTCATACATATCATCTTGGCCCAGGCACCACTCGTACTCCACGCGGACATGGGGGCTGAACTGATTGCTCTGGGCCTGCAGCAGCTGGGGCACAGAAGAGCTCCTTCAGGATCTGCCAGCCCTGTCCTGCCCCACAGGCAGCGCCCCGTCTCCGGCCACACGCCCATCAGGGCAAGGTCTGCAAGCTGTGCTTCCTGGGGGCTGGGGCAGGGAGGTTGTGAAAATTTCCAAATGCACATATCAGGACACGCCAGAAGCAAGACTTGGACTTGCTGCGAAGATGCTCTCACCCCATCCAGCCTCAGGACAGCTCCAGGTGCCCCTGCCCAGGCATGGTGCAACCCTTGCCTGGCCAGTCCTGACCTGCTCTGCCCTGAGGGACCCCACGCCAGCAAGGCCAGCACCCCTCCACACCCTCACACCCTCATCTGCATCCCACACTGGCACTGGAGATGCTGAGGGGTACAGGTGGCCCCACAGGACATGTCCACACGCGTGGGTCCCCCTCCACTCTCTGCAGCTGGGACATCTCCCAGAATTGGAGGGGTGGAGACCCAGTTTCTTACCAGCTCTTCACACAAGGGATGTCTCATCCTCCTGGCAACATCCAGGGCAGTCTCTCCCGCTTTGTTAGCTGGTGGGGGAGAAGAGGCAGCCTTGATCAGTGAATTGCAGAGCGGTGCTACATTTGGGGGCATCTAGGGGCAAATAAGCCTAAAAGAAGGGACAGCATAAACCCAGAGACCGAAACAGAGGCTCAGACTCTTAGGGGGTGGGGGTGGGAAGATGAAGAAGAGGGCGGAATGGTGGTGCCTGGTGGACACACAGACTGCCCAGACACCCAGGTCCCAGTACTTCCAAGCAGAGGCCTGAGTGCAGGTGTGAACAAAAAAACACATTTTACTTCAGTTTCTCTTTAAACTAAAACTCCTTTCACTCCTGGGAGGGCTGAGGGTGGAACCTGTGATGGTGTTGCTGTAACCCTGCAATTTCATTATTTCTGCAAAACCCCTCCTTGCAGAGTTGCAGCACAAGTCTAGCTGGGGAGGGGGTGGGATTGGGGTGACTCTGGGAAAGGGGGAGGGTAGGAGAAGGGAACAACAAGAGCTCCACACCCTGGTGGACTGCAGAGCATCCCCAGACCAGAGGCAGGGTCTGCACTGTGAACGCAAGATGCTTGTACCAGTGGCAGTCAGTAATGACAGCTCAGGCACAGCTGTGCCCAACATGGCCGAGGAAGTGGAAAATTTGCTGCTGAATCACTGTGCGCCTTGGGGACACGCACCCAGCCCCTGCCACCCCACTGCCTGAAGCAGGAAACTGGAGCATCTCAGGAGCATCCCAGAGGCAAGGGTCAATGCAAGTACCAGCTCAGCAGATATCTGGTGGTGGAAACATTTGTGTCCTCCCATTTCACCTAGGACCCTAGTTTTAAAGCTCGTTCTGTGTTGTGAAGAGGAGATTCATGAGCAGTACAAATGGTTGCACCTGTGATGTGATCTGTGCTCCAGAGCACGAACATGCCCCATCTCTGAAAGAGTGCTTTGGCAGCCCTCCCGTCCACTCTCCAGCAATGCAGAGTTGGCTCTGAGAATGAGTTAAGTGCCTGGTTTGGCTCCTGCTGTGCTTGCGCTGCGTGTGCAAGAGCAGCTCAGGCAGGATTTGACATCACTGGGCCCTGCCAGCCCAGTGAGCACAATCCCACTGTGGGGTTAAGAGTACCCCAGAGCAAGCCGGTTTCTCCCAGGGCAGCAGAGAGGAGCTTCCCCTGCTCTGAGCTGGAGAGCAAAGCCGCTATTTCAGCCCCAGGCTGTCGAGGGCAGGAAGCTGTGAGGTATCACCACACTTGTGGAGGGTCACATGCACCCCAGAACAGCTTGTGAGCGCTGCTGAGACTGGAGAGACAAGCAGGGCACCTCGCTGGACACGCAGAGAAGAGCTTGGGGCTGAGCTTGTCGCTCCACAGGCAGGGGCCCTGCCCAAAGCCGTCATCCGCCGG